ATTCTTTGATGTGTACTTAAATCATTTGTATATTCCACATTTGTACATTCTAGGGTCCTTAGTCACCAAAACAACAACTGAGGCCTCATGGTTAGAGGCTGATTAAAGCAATCATGTGGTGTTTAATATACACAAAAAGAGAGAAAGAAAGCTTTTATATGATGAAGTAATATAGGTTTAGGCTACTTTTCAACATTTATCTGCAGTACTAGATTAATCAAAAAACTCTAGTTTATACCTAATTTTCATCACTGCCTCAAGAATGATACGTTCTCTCATGTATTTTTTAAATAACAGGGTAAATACCATGAAATCTACCATCAACTCAAAATAAGAATTATCTTGCAGGGCCGGGGATTTAGCTCAGTCATTCCCGCCGCCTGCCTCGCAAGCATAAGGACCCGAGTTCGATCCCCGGTACAAAAAAAAAACAAAAACAAACAAATAAATTTTTTTTAAAAAGGAATTATCTTGCAACATATCTCTATATTTTAACAACTTATACAAATACTTTAATGGGTGTGACTTTTGCTGAGTTTGTATACATTGAAACCTTTATTCCAATTCTGAGTGATGAGCTGTTTGAGTCTACCTTATATATTCATTTATTTACTCATTTACTTAATTGCTCATGGATTTGACACGATTATTTTCTAAAGAATAGCCAAAATGGTAAACTCAGCCAGTAATCCAGAACTGAAATTTTCCTGTGTTCTATGACCTACACGCAGATTAGGCATTTTTCTATGCATATCGGCAGTAAAAATCCAAATTAATAATTATCATTATCTTAGAAGACATAATCTTCATTGATCTGTAGTTTTCTTCTTTCAAATAAATGTAATATTTTATTGATTTGTTCATTTATAGTAATAGGCGCTACTGCAAAGAAACTGGAAATGAGGCCTGAATGACAGTAATACATCTGTTCCTTATCAAATAAATGACGGCCTAGATCATTTGGGGTTTGTTAAGAACATTTAATGAAGACAATATGATCATTCTGAACTTTTCTCTTCGGACACATGGTCAGTGTGTGCCCATAACTGCTCCCCCATATTCAATAACCTGTTCATATAAAGTTTCCCTTTTTATTAAAAATGAATGAACAATAGACGCAGTGAAACCAATTGAACAGAGTGAAATTTATATCACTGAGTAGACTACATAGATTATGAAATGAAATACATCTGAATAGGAAAGGAAGATGTGAAACTGTCTCTATTCACTGACAATGTGATTGGATACATAGAAAACTAAAGACTTGACCAAGGAAAGAAAGAAAGAAAGAAAGAAAGAAAGAAAGAAAGAAAGAAAGAAAGAAAGAAAGAAAGAAAGAAAGAAAGAAAACCATCAGAAGTGATAAACAAATTTAGTAAAATTGCAAGACACAAAATCAGCACACAAAAATCATTAGTAAATTCTATATACTAACCAAAAGAGTAAATTAAGAGAATAATCCAATTTTTTAAATCAAATAATATAGAGAGGGGTAAATTTAGCTAAGGAGATTTTTTAAATCCTATATATCAAAATCTATAAAACACTGATAGAAAAAATGGAAACCCAAAAGACTGCCATGTGATTCAGCAATCCCACTTATATATCCAAAGGAACAGAAATCAAAGTCGCAAAAGAATACCTACATTCCTATGTTCACAATAGTCAATCAATGGAATCAACATAAACATCCACTAGTGGATGAATGGATAAAAAAAAATGTGGTAGAGGGGCCAGGGATTTAGCTCAGTGGTTCGGTGGCCTGCCTTGCAAGCGCAAGGACCCAAGTTCGATCCCTGGCACCAAAAAGCAAACAAAAAAAAATGTGGGAGATATAAATCCAATGGAATACTATGCAGTCTCAAAAAGGAGAGAAAGTCTGCCATTTGTGACAATATGGAGAGGACCTGGTACTAAGTGAAATAAGCCAGGCACAGAAAGAAAAATACCATATGATCTCACATGTGTGGAATCTAAAAACATTGAACTCTGAGAAGTAAAGAGTAAAAGGAAAGGAGAAGTAGGGACAACGTGGGAAGAAAGGAAAGAAGAAAAAGAAAAAAATGAGACAAGACAGAAAAAAATGTACACAAACTCTTTGCACATAGGGAAGGGTAGAGAGGTGGGAGGGAAGGCAGGGAACAGGAAAAAACAAGAACCAAGATAAATTATGAATAAGCACAAATTCCCAATGATTATGTGATCATAATGTATATTTAAAATACACCAAAAAACTGAATGGAAAAAGGAAATGGCTGTAACCAGCAAGTAGAGTCAGGTATGAGGGAGACGACGTGGAGTCATTGGTTAATAGCCAATGAAAGATTCAGATGCACAGGAAGAATAAATGTGGAGTCCTACTGCACAGCAGAGTGACTATAGTCAGTAATAATTTGTTGTATATTTCAAAATAACAGAGAGTGGGCCCGGGGATTTAGCTCAGTGGTTCGGTGGCCTGCCTTGCAAGTGCAAGGACCTGAGTTCAATCCCCGGTATCCAAAAAAAATAAATAAATAAATAAAATAATAATAATAACAGAGCAAATTTTAAATATTTAATAATAAAATCATAGGCAAATGAGGTGAGAGTTAATTAGCTGGATTGCATCATCCCAAATTGCAAATGTATAATAATACCTTGTTGTGTTCACTTAAAAATAATGTTAAACTGAAATAAATAAAGTTTCAAAAAAATCAACAATTTAAGGGTCCCACTTTAAGAAACTACAAAAAGAAGAGCATATTAAGTCCAAAGTAAGCAGAATTAGAATAACAAAAATTTTGGCAGAGGATAGAGCGCTGTGGGGCAGCACCTGCCTACCAAGAACAACATCCTGCGTTTGATCCCTGGTACCAGGTGAAAAAAGTAACAAAAATTGCACCAGAAATCAATGAGACTGGAAACAGATCATAGGGAAAAACCAATGGGGGAGAAGCTGTTATTTGGAAAACTCAAAGAGAAAGAACACAAATTATTATTACCTGAAATGAAGGGACAGTACTACAGATTCCATGGATATTAAAAGTATATAAAATGAATGCTATCAATAACTCCACCCACAAATTTGACAACCCAGATGAAATGGACCAGTTTTTTTTAACAGACTCAATCTGGCAAACTCACACATGGAGAAAAACAATTTGCATGGGTCTGTATCTATTAAAGAACTTGAATCAATAACTAATAACCTAAACCAGAAACCGCCAGGCCCAGATGGTTAACAGGTAAATTACGTCATATAAGGGGGAAATTAAAGCAAGTCTACAATTTCTTTCCAAAGACAGAAATAAAGGAAATACTTCTACTCATTCTAAAAGGCCAGCATTACGCTAATACTCACAGAAGTAAAAGAACATGAAAGAATACTACAGACCAATGTTTCACATATGTGCAAAAACATATATACAAGAATATATATACAAAAATACTCAAAAATGTGAACTGATCAAATACAACAATGTATAAAAAGAATTCACAATAGAGTGAATTTCTCATGTATGCAAACCTGATTCAAAAATTGAAACTCAACTAATTAAACCCAACACATCAACAGGAAAAAAAAAATGCATGTGATCATATTAGTAGATATAGAAAAATAACATTTAAAGAAACCTGATACTGATTCTTGGTTTTAAAAAAATGGTCCAGTAGGAATAGAGGGAAACCTGTACAACTTCATAAAGAATATCCAAAATGAAAATAAAACAAAATAATAGCCCCATACCTACTAATGCTACGCCTAATAGGTAAAAACTTAAATCTTCTAAAGTCACAAACAAGGCAAGGATGTCCCCTCTCACCACTGATTTTCAAAACTACATTGAAGGCTCTGACCAATGCAGTAAGATAGGAAAAGGAAATAAAAGGTAAACTGATAAGAAAAAAAAGAAATGAAACAGTGCCTTATAATCTATATAGAAAAATGGAAAGAATCAACAAAAGTCTTGTAGTAGAATGTGACTATAGGTTACTGGAATTCAGCTTTAGTAATCACTGTGAATTGTATTCCTTATTACCTGACATACTTCCATAATTGAGCCAATCACAGCTCTCCTTTTCTGCATTTATTTATATATTCTTTCATTCATGCCTTGATTTCTTATAAGAATATACTTTGTATTAAGAAATTTCAAGAATAAAATCTTCCCACACAAATAGCAGTTCCCCTTTTCTAATGGATCTCAAAGCTTTAGGGTTTAATTAAAATTCTTATTCAAATCCTGCAAGGTATTAATCACAGGACTAGGCTTGTAGACTTTCTTCACTTATTTGTACCACTGTTTAAAGGTTCATTCAATGAATCACTAATCATAAATTCATCTGATAAAATGCCAAAGTAAAATGAAATCGTATTTAGCCCCCTACCTTCTTTACTTTAAAAGTCTCAATTGCATTATATTAGAATACAATAGTTCTGTTTTTGTTTCTAAGATAGTCCTATCATAGCACAATGCTTTACAACTTTATTTACATATGTAAATTATTGTCACAATGGAACATGGGGGTCAAACACCCATCTACTACTCCCACACTAAATAAATAAATAAGTATCGAGGTCAGAATAGCAATAATGCTGGCTTTCCTGTCTTCAAAATAACTGGCTGGATGATGAGTGCATTTGTACAAACACTTGGAATACCACCGTCATCTGTGGGTTTACAAACTGCATCAGAAACCTGAATGATGGGGCTGGGTCAGTGATCAAGGCCCTCTTCTGTTCAACGTGTGTGAGTGTGTGTGTGTGTGTGTGTGTGTGTGTGTGTGTATGTGTGTTGGGGACCTGAACCTGGAGCCATTGCACTGAGCTATATCCTCAGTTCTCAGTTTCTTTCCTTCTTTCTTTCTTTCTTTTTTTTTTTTTTTTTTTTTTTTTTTTTTTTTTTGTTTTTTAGACAGGGTCTTGCTAAAAGTTGCCAGGCTGGGTTTGAATTTGTAATCCTCCTGCCTCAGCCTCCCTCCGCACTGGGATTACAGGCATGCGCCACCATACCCGGCTTATAGTAGACCTCAGAGGTATAGTGCTTAATCAAAATCATTGACTCAGACACCCCAGAATACTCATCATTGGTCAAGGCTTGGCACACTTTCTTTGTCAGCACTGGGGACTGAACCCAGGGCACAGAGTTGAGACAGGGTTTCACACTGCCCGCACAGGACTCAAATTTGCAATCCTCCTGCCTCAGCCTCTCACTCCCAGAGTGCTAAGATTACAGGTGTGCATCACCACACCTGGCTCTGGCTCTCTTTCAATCTGTCACCTCACTCACTGAGTCATCAATAATTAAGCAGAAACCTAAGAACAAGGCCCCTTACCTATCACCCAGGTGTAGTCCTATATAACTGACAGGGAGCATCTCTGCAATAGGTCTCAGTTACTCACATGGATTACTCAGCTTCCTTGCTTCATATCAACTCTATGTTACAATTTTCCACTTGGTCCTTTTATTTAATCTGTCCACATCTGAAAGTAGTACATGTAGCCAGCTTCCAAGATGGCCCCCAATGGTCCATAGCTCCTAGTACCCATGGACTTGTGTTGTCCCTGACCTCCATGAATCCTGGCAGCCTATCTCTGTCTTATTTGACAGCTCTGGAGGAGTGAAACTGTCCTGCTGTGAGGCGCAGAGGAAAGCTCCATGTGGGAAGGGACTGTGGTCCTACAGGTGTGAGTCACAGCAGTAGACCCCAACATGGTCAAGCTGATAGATGCCAGCAAGTGCCCCTGACACCTGGCCTGCAAACTCATGGGACCCCCACATCCCATGGTCACTGCACGTCTCCTGGGTTCCTGCCCGCAGAGACAGTGTGGAACGTCAGCCTTCTACCACTGTTCTGACCACCAAGTCACGGGGCAACTGATCACACAGCCACAGCTGCCGGAGTAGCCCTCAGCCAAAACATTCAGGACAGAAGTGTTTCAGATTTTAGATCTTTCCAAGTGTGGAATATTTGATCGCTCTCAGAGACAGGACTCACACACACACCTTATACACGTGGCAGGGAAGTAACTTTATGCAGTATTTTCAGTGCCCCTGTGTTTTGACCACAGCCTTCCATGTGAGGTCAGGTGTGGAATCTTCTGCTTGTGGTATATGTTGGTGCTTAAAATTTTCCAATTTTTCTTAAATCTTCAGATTTTAGCTTCTCAGATTTGGGATGCCCATCCTGTACAATGACTCTCCATGAACCACCACCTCAACACTCACTGAGGCCACACACAGTCCTCCTCCTTCCTGTCCGTTCCCACCTTAAAAAGATGATGGTCTAGAGCATTATGGCGTGAGAGGTGATTCAGTCAACAGTGGCACGGAGTAAGTCGTAACATCAAAAACCCCTAAGGGTGGCTAAAAGCCCCCACCGTTACAAACAGACTTAAATTGTGCTGAGTTGGTGGGATTTATCCCAAACTTTGGTGTTTTCCACCCACTGGTGGTTCCTGTATGGCATCCTTTTACTTATTTATATGCCTGGCCATCTATTCCTTTGACACAATGTAACGACTGACAAACCACCTGAACCAAGCATTCGAAATGTGACTGTGCTCAATAGTAATATCTAAGCTCTTTACCACAGAGCTCAAAACTGCTGTCTTTGTTACTACAGAATAATTGAGTCATCTATGGTGTTTTTGTTCTGTGAAGTAAAACACACACTTTATAAAGAATAGAATAGCACAGCCTTAACTTCTTTTAATAGACCTGAGTCATGAGGGATTAGATTAATCATAAACTTTAGTTCCTATCACATTCTCATTACTGACTGGAGAATAACTAGGCTTTTTATTCACTGATTTATTTACTGTTTAATTTTTAATATAATGAACATTTAAATCTATCACCTAGTATAGGAGAAATAAATGAAACTCTTACAACTATCCATCTATATACTCCTCACCATTTAGACACCCTCACCTCATTAATCTGCTTCAGGGGACCAAACTGTTCACGGCCAAGAGTGCCCGTGATGTATTGATCCACAATTTACTCTAATTTATGCATTAACTGACTCACTTGTGATTTTTATTATGCAGAGAATTGTTTGACTCTCTTCGCGTTTTTTTAAAAAAAGAATAAAACCCACCAGCAATCCAAGATTGAATACACTTTCCTGCAACTCCCGATATACATTCTGTCCACAATGGGATGAGTCTAGAATTCTTTTGTCTTCACCCAAAAATGCAGATCAATCATACCTTTGTTTCATGACACCTGCTCTTCACCAGCCCACAGTTGGCTGAGATGTGAACTCATTTACTCACTTTTATCAATACATCAAAAAGAATAGTTCAACTAATTATACCAGTATCTACCTACCTACCTACGTACCTACCTATTTGTGTATGCTCATGGCTCACAGATATATAATGGACATAGTGCTTTTTGAAAAATTATATTCAAAGAGAACTGGGATAATAACTGTCATATGCACAACAGGAGTCCATATTTAGCTTTCTTTTAGTTAGGCAATTATTCTAAACATCATTTTCTATATAAATGATTTATTTCTTTATTAAATAAAACCGACAGCTAGCAACATATCATGATCCAAACCACCTGGATGTTCATGGAATGACTATGTCCTCAATGGGAAACCATAAGAAAGACCACATCAACGGGATAAAGAAGATGTGGTTTTTCTATAAACTGGAATACTACTCAGCCATAAAGAATGAGAAATTAGATTCATTCATAGGAAAATGGATACATATTGAGGATATAGTCCTAAGTGAAACACATAAGTCACACACATGTAAATATTGAATAGTTTCTCTAGTGTGAATAAAGTATAATAGTACATAAGATCCTGAGATAATTGACAATGTGAAATAGGAAGAAAAGGGCCAAAGGTGTAGGGAAGGTGGGAAGGGTAGGGGAAAGGTAATAAGGAAAAGAAAAAAAATAGGAGAAAATGAAAAAATGGAAATAAAATGTTTGTAAATGGGGAGGGGAGTAGGGGGTGAAGGGAGGACAGGGACAAGGGGAAAAAGTGAGAACCAAGATCTGTCATGTAAAGGTAAAGATCCCAATAATGAATGTAACTGTACTGTATACCTAAAATGTACTAATAAACTCAATGAGGAAAAAAAGAAAAGAAAAGACAGCATCTATTTTTATTATGTGACTCAGTGCTTTAGTAAATAATAAAAAATAATAATCCTTGTTTAACTGCAGAATTGCAAAAACCCAGCCATTCTTTACACATCTCTATTTTGCATTGGTTCATTTATAATATAATTCCAACATGAAGAATTAAGACCCAACTCCCTGAGTATCCTCAACTTTTTTGGTGGGGGGAGGGTTGAGACAGGGTCTCACTATGTAGTTGAGACTGACCTGGAACTCACTATGTAGCCCAGGATGGCCTCAAACTCACAGCAATCATCCTGCCTCAGCCTCCTGAGTGCTGGGATTAGAGGCATGCACCACCAGGCCCGGCAGTATCCTCAACTTTTGCTAGAAAGCCCTCTTCCCATGGAAGAAATGTGGAGGTTCATTTTTTTCTAACAGACCTCTAAGTTACAGAATCTAATCCAAATCTTTGATTCATACATCCCAAAATATTATTATTCTACACTTGATATATTTTTATTCATACATCCCAAATTACTTATTATTCTACACTCGATATACTTTTCTTCCTTTATTTGGACATTGCTCATACTTTTAGTCAGTGACTCACTAAATAATTATATGATAAATTCTCATGTAGCAAAAAGCCTAACAACATGCTTGAATATTTCTAGTTACAGTCTGAATGCTTGTTTTCCAGAGCTAATACATGAGGGCACATTTTATAACAGATGTGCATGTTTTGCATCTATAAATCAACATCCATGTTTCAGAATGGATCCATGATAGCCGTTGGCCCAGGTTACCTTTTTTCACTTAAAGATGGCTCCAAGAGTAACTAAGGAACTATAATCTTACTCCACAACCAGGGAGAACACTGACAATATTATCCATCTTCCTAAATGCTTTTCCCTCAAGGAATTAAGATCTTAAATCTCTGTCAGTAGAGAGGTTCTTAAATGAATCACAATGCAAAAATAAAACAGAATATGAAGCAGCCAGGAACATGAATGAAACATCTTGCATCTTTTTTATTGGATTTTACTGGTGCTGAATCAGATTTACTATAAATCTCAAATCTGAGCACATTCTCATCAATGGTCGTTGCTGGTGTTAGCTGGTTTTATTTACTAATATATCCATTTATGACTTTGAAAAATGCAGCCGACACCCATAAACTAACCTCCAAACCCAAGAACATTAAACTCTAACTATTACCTACATAAATCTCTTCTTTCCTTACCCACAGAGGTAAAAGCCTAGACCTTTAGCATTAGAGGATGATTAAATCAGTGGTGGTACACTTAGCTGGTGAAGGAAAACACATACTTTCAAAAGCAAGCAAGAGCCTATAGTTAAGATTTTGTTCGTGGAAGTGTTTTGCATTATTAGATAAATTGAACTTGTGTCCTCTCACAATCTCATCACTGCTCACGAATGGCACTCTAATTATTAGCTTCTTTAGTTTATATTTTTAAATGGTATAATGAATAACAACAGGAGAACAAGAACCATATCTATCAGAAATATCTGTCTACATACCCCTGGTCCACAAACTCAACAGCTCGTGATTGATTTTAATGGATCTCACTTGGGCAAAATTGGATAAATGTAAATCTTTGTTTCATGGCATATTCTCATGAGTGATGTGCAAATTTTTCTAATTTACATGTCTACTGATTCATTCATTTATTCATGACTATAATTTGCATGGAATAAATTAATTATCCACTTTTCTAAAGAACTGTTGCACACACATTTCAGTGGGCACTTTACTCAAAGAGGGAGAAACCTCAAGTTCTAATAAATTATCTGGGCAACATCTGGGTGTGACAAGAGTAATCATTATCTTTGGTTTATAACACATGTTCCTCATTGGCCCTTCTACACAACTGATCTAGATATGAACTTATTTTCATCCTTTGTAACAATGTATCAATAGTGAACATAAGGGTCAAGGTTATTGAACAGCTGTCCATAACTTAACCACCTAAATCCTACCA